ACTGAGCTGCGCAAGGGAAGCAGGGTGAACGCACCCCGAGGGCCGCCCCGTGCCGCCCCGCGCCGCCCCGCGCCGCCCCGCGCCGAGCAGTTCACACATAAAAAGCATTCAGGCGTAAAGCACTCTGCCCGTACGCAGAATACCGGAGGCCGGCGGCGACCGCACGCAAAGTACTCGCAGATGGATGGCCACGCTTAAGGAAGGGTACTCTAATTCCGTATACGGTTTTGCATAATATCATGGACACCTGTAATCCGCCTGTGCGCGAAAGACGCAGCGTAGAAAATAGAAGGGAAGAGAGGAAGGCCAAGTTAATATCCGCGGCGACGGACACTCCTTTAAACCGCTATTAGTAATTGGCTAAGTCGACGGAGAGTCTCGTCGCCTAGCTCTCTCTTCCTCCATCTTGTCTGCTACGGGCAGCCGCGATGTCGACGGGGATGGGGGGGGAGGGTCGGGTCGGGGCAGGCGGGGCGGGGCGGAGCGGAGTATGTTGCCTCCGCCTTCTGCCCTCTGCCTGCTGCCTCGTTCCTTCCGCCAAAGCCACACTTCGCTCCTCCGCTTGACCGTTCCTCCGAAGCACTGCGACTCTTCGGAAGGAGCGTTCTGATATTGGAGTTGACACGATTTTGCTGGTGTTAGTATTAGTGAGGTTTTTCACAGCGTTTTGTAAAGCGATATGATGTGCCTGAGTGGCAGCGACGTGACTTGTCATCATTTGGAGTGATAATTCATTTTGCCTAACGTTTTTCGTTTGAGAATACGGTAATGGAAATTGTTCTTGACTGTGGCATCTGAGTATGCTGCTAACGAAAAATTCCCGTAATGACACCTCTTGATTCACGTTTCTTCGAAAAGAGCTGCTCACCAACGAGATGTTATATTAATACTGAGTTAGCTGCACACTCGGCCGTCACATTTAGGAAAAAAGTTCCATATGTTTTCACATGACTTTAATCGTTCACGATTGTTTTGTGATACAACTATATTAAAATGTTGCTCTTGCCCAGAGAGTTAAATGTGAGTTCATACCGTTACGATTCACTGCTTCGGGCTGTGCAAAACCTCTGTATTGTGTTCCCAGAGACGCGAGTCCCCTGTTTGCACGTAAGTCTATGCTCCGCGCGGCCAGGCCGTCTGCCGTCTGAGCGTGATCGACCCGTGCCAGGCCGGCCATTGCTGCAACTGTTCCTGAAACTTAAGCCAGGCGGCTTACGAGGTTCAATATTCGGAGCTGGATTTTACCAGTCTCTACGCGAGCCTGTTGGCGGAAGCTACTGGTCGCCAAGCACTCCCCCGCCATTGCAATGTTTCTGAACGTAGTGCCAAAGTAATACCACTATAACGAAGTATCTAGACGTACATATCATGTAATATATTGAATTTCTAATTGACTACATAATTTGAAACATGTGAAAGATATGCGTAATGTATGTCAGTTGTATCATACAGACACCACATGGGGGTAGGAGCCAACACAACCGTCAGATTTATCTACTACTTCCATCGTTCTCAGCCGGTGCGAATATTTGATCAGATCGTGGAGGTCGTGATTTGGTCGTCAGCCTTACAGTTTTTTTACGTGCCACAAGAGGTACAGGGTTTTCACCCTTTGAAAATCCACCGTCCCCGGCGAGGAATCAAAGCAAAGTTAGACGGAGCTGAGCGACACTCCATTTCTGTGCTGACTTACGTCGCAGCGGCTGAGCGACTGTGTGCGGTTCGCGACCGCCGCTTCTACCTCGTCCGCATCGCTCCATCTCTTGGCCCATTTCGCAGTCGGCGTCGGCGCCGCCGCGGTTTCACTCGATCGCGGAGGAAATCGCCTCCGCCCCCTCCCGTCCTCGCGCCGCCGCCCTGGCACTGGCCGAGCGCCAAATCCGCGGAAAGGGAGGCGGTTCTCGCGATCGGAGAACATTTGTGCTAAGCTCCGCAAAACTCGTTTCCTTAATTGTCGTGGGTGCGTCGGTCAAGTAGACTAACGTCGCCTCGCGACTCGCCTCGCCTCGCCTCGGTCCTGCCGGCGACAGACGAACAGTTTCCGTCGTCGCATCGGCGATGTTGGCGACAGGCCCGCGGAATAAATGAGCGTTCGCAAACGTTTTCAGAACCTGTTTATTTTATTTTGGCTTGGGAGGGGAGGGATGGGACGGCGGAGAGATGGTCAAGTGACGATGTTCATCGGTCCATTTATACAATCCACCGTCTGAAATATTCCAACAATGCATATAACGATGGGTAACGCTGACAACTCCGGTGCAGGTCGGTAGGCGAAGAAATAAAGCGATGAAGGGAGTGGGATGGACGGAGAAACCTAATGACCCCGCGAAAACCTGCCTTGAACTCAGTAACTTCACTACAAATGTCTCATTAAGAGGAATTATGATGTATTTGTTTAGGCTTTTTGTATGTTGTATGTATTTTCTATGCGAATGTATTTTGTGCTAAAACGGTAATAATTCTCTGTACTATTGAGCGAGTCGAAGAATTCTCTTACTGTCCGGACGCAAAGCCATGGTCCATCTCAGCACTTGTTCAACGGATCAAGGAAAAGTGGACAAAAATCGCGATCATGGTGTCGCAGATACATTGAACATTGAATTTGGAAACTAGAATTATAAACTAGTATTATAAATTATATTTTTTTGTGGGGTAATATTAAATCCAAGTTTCCGTACAAAATGAAGTGACTCTATGAACAAATTTACTTCTAACACGTAGATACGTCTTTCATCATTTATACGCTTTTTTAGAAAAATTTCTTAAGTTTTATTTTTACTAATTTTTGTATGAAGAGCATGAGCATTTGTATTTTTCTAAAAGACGGTGTTAATACAATGATTGTCTAATAAAATAACTAAAACGACGTTTGATCGTAAATATTTGATGACAAGATTGTTTGAAGATTGATTGACTCGAAAGTGCTGAGCGTTTAATTAATAATATATGATCGTCATATATATGATCAATAATAATATATGATCGTCATATATATGATCAATAATAATATATGATCGTGATAAATGATCATCATATTTGTAATGTCATCGAAACCCCCGTTACAACGGACAGGAAAATCTGCTATAAGAAAAACCGACAAAGGAATATTTGGTGACAGAGATCCACCAGATTACATTATATGGCCAAGGAAATAGGCTTAATAACTGACGTTTTTATGGATGTTCCACCATTTTACGACATGCTCGTCGCGGCCCTACAGGGAATGACGCAGCTCTGGGCACACCGTGACGACAGGCCCCCCGCGACGCGCCGGACACAACTCCAGGGGGAGTGGGTGTTGAGGGAGGGCAGCGAAAGAATGAAAAGCTAGACGAGGCAGAGGAAGGAAACACCTGGCGACGAGAATGACGAAAGTACCGAAGGATCTAGATCAACGGAGGGAACATGAACAACCGGCTGTGATTGCTTCGCGGCTACACTCTTGCCTATGTAGCGTCGTTGACCTGGATGTCATAAGTTCCGAGATCCGAAGGATTTCCGTCTCCAACTGGGTCTAAAAGACCCCGTTGGTAATCAGCCGGGAGTTTAGAGTTTGTCCTGGCTGGGGCGGGGTCTCGCTGAGGAAATAACTGGAAAGGGATATCTTGCTACCGACGTGTAGGAGAGCGTCAGATCTCACATTCTAGCGAGAAAGGAATATTGTCACCTCTTGTGATGTAACATACACTTCTCTTACGGGATTAATAACGCTTGTAGTTGACGCGCAGGGAAATGCGAGGTACTCACTCACGAATCTTCAACGACAAGAGCGCTAAGGCGACAGGGTGGCGACAGTGTGGCGAAGATAAAGCAGTGCGGGCGCAGGGAAGACGAGAACAACAAAGCAAACGAGCACACCAGATCGAGGACCGTGATGAGAGTTGCGAAGACAACGTTGAAGGCGAGGGCGACCAACACGCGAAAGAGACGATGGGGAGGGAGACGTACGGGAGAAAACGGAGAAAAGAACGACGGAACACGAACCATTCAGAACTCCAGTCGGCATTCGTTACAACTGCGCCACCAGAGAACATGACAGTACTTTCTTAGTCACAGATTTTAGCATTTGCTCTGCTGGCTGTTCATGTGAGTCGTATTTTACTCGTTTTTACTTTCTTGTTACAAAGTAGAGAGAAAGTTATGTGATGCTGCGCGAAAGAACGGTAAATTTTCGGCAGAAAACTTTATTACAGGGCCCTGGCAAGTAAAAGTGGATAAATCCAGATGCAAAACTTCGAAAAAAATCCTCTAACACGTGATGTAGCGAGAATCCGTTCTGTAGGTTCTTGATAGCGAAAAATCGAATTACGACAAAACGCCCGCACGCCCGTCCGTCCGTCTCTTTCTTTCTGTCTGTCTCTCTGTCCTGTCTGAAGTTTTTTTCATTGTATTGAAGGTTATCAGGGTATGGTTTTTAGGTGTAAATTGAAATTCGTCGGATGTGATTTTTTTTGTTTCATTTTGGCAATGTTCAGAGATTGTAAGCAGGAAGTAAGAACTTTAAGCGGTATATCTACTGTACATGCGGTAATAAATAGCCTGCTATATGAATGTGATAAACACTGACTGTAATCGATGGTTTATTACACATTATCAACTGTTTCAAAGAAATAAGTGAGGTCGTTCGTTTGTATTATGAGCGGTGACTTCATTGTTCTTCCTCATCGACATGTGAATAATTGCTTTGTAGTACGGCAACGCCCTTCTCCAACCACTTTTACTTCGGCCGCGCTCTGCCAGGGGCGCCCTTGCGGCTCGCCTTAGATGTGACAATTGTGCAGTTTTATTTCTCTTGTTGGTATATGGAGTCGGCCTGTTTGCTTCCATTTAATTACTGACGAATTCTTCATGGCTTTCGCGAACAGCCACTAATTGTTATTTTTTCTTACTTTCAGGTAAGCCCTCTTGCGCTTTTTATCTGCGATTTCCGAACTGCTTCTCCGGGACGTCTTTACCAGAGAATACGCACTCTGGCACAATAGCAGAGTATGCATCCAACCATTCTTCATCTCTCACTTTAAGACAGCAGAAAAGGTACAGAACAATTTAATTATTTATTTTTTTCTTTCGCATTCCAGGATTAAACAGGATATTAAATAGCATTTCATGATTTTATATATTATCTACAGTAACTTAAAATTTTCGGATTTTAAATTATATATTTGGTGAATTTCTTAGTTTTCCACACAATGGTTTAAAAAAAGTAGCACACACATTGATTCAGACAACAAATACATTTCGGCAATAAATTAAATATTCTAACAAGGAGTCTTCGAAATCACTGCTGTAACATACTATAGTTAATAGGTATATACGGTGCAGCAGGTTTTTACAAAAGGTTGCTTTCACAAAGCAAAAGGTGAAAAGCAAATAATGGTGCAGGGCCTCTTCCTTGGAGAATTGCTGCGCATGTCGTCGATTGTGTTGTAAGCAGTAAGCAGTGACACACTAAATATGAGAGTTCAGTCGGTATGCACCAACACGCGATATGACAAATATGTTCATTTTTCAGTCGAAATCGAATTTCATTGTTTCTGTATTACTTCGGAATACCTGGGTATCTAACGTAATCATATACACCTGTCACCTCCTCCTCGGAGACTGCGTAGTTTTCGTGCCATTTGGGTTCGCAATGGCAATTGGCAATATGTATGTTCTATGGGGCAAATGTGGGCGTCCGTGGTCGCCCCGGCGAGCCGCTG